TTATTAATTATAATATAATTATATATATATATATATATATATATATATATATATATATATAACTGCCAATTATAAATACATTTTAATAAAGAATACTTACTTTACAGTAAGCGGTTCAATTTATAATAGCCGTGAGCGATTTTAATCTCGAGTAAAATGATCTAATAAATATTCGCGTCAACTGGACGCAATTTCATTTACGTTATTTATCACTTTCCGGTAAACTCGTCTGTTAATGAGCGATTTTGATTAATATTAACGTTCGTTAGAAATATGGCACGAAAAATTGCAAGACTACTTTAAAGCATCGTCGGTGTGTTGAGTCGCACGTTATCGGGTTACACCAAAGTGTAACGTTAAATCAATTTCTGCGGCTTCTTTGAGCTCAAGCGGATAGATTGATTTACAACACACCTCCACGGAACATAATTCTCAAAACTATCGTGCGCAATTGTAAGCAGTTGTGTACCAACAAATTTCGATTTATATTCTACATATCGTTTTCTACAATCGGATTAACTTTTAACGTGCATACGATCGTAAAAAAGAAAAAAAGAAAAAATGATAACAATGAAAATGTTTTAAATATCGTCATATCATTTTTACCAACAAATTTGTTAGATGCGAATAAATTATAACAATACCGGATACGTCAATACTAATATTTCTAAGATTCGGAGTAAAACGTACGCGCATTTCGAGAATAAATTTGATTTGTCACTTTCTCGATATGTAACACTTTTTTATTGCAAATATTTTCTTCTTGGTTACAAATAGCAAAATTTACCCGACCACTTTCCTCCATTCACTACAACCGATTCTGCGCTACGGTGTTATTACTGTGCAACACATAAATTATAACTAATTATAAATTATAATTATAATTATAATTGAATTTTGTTTTTGTTAATGAACAAACCAACGTATTTTAGTTGAAAACAAACTTCTGCTTGGTCCTTACGAACTAAATTTTGTTTTAAGAACAAAAATTCTGTTTCTTTCAACCAAAATATGTTGATTTGTTTGTTACAACTATACACATACGTACACACGCACACGGGCGCGCACACACCACACACACACACAGACACACACACACACACACACACACACATATATATATATATATATATATATATATATATATATATATAACTATACACATAAACTTCATGTTATTATGACAAAACTTTTTCTCCATATAGATGTTTACAGCAAAAGAGTTGCGTAGCATTATACGCATCCGCAGAAAGAATATTTTACTAAGAATATTTACTAAGAATATTTTACTAAGAAAAACAATTATCTAGTTTCCTTCCTTTCTTTTAAGCAAGGTTAATTGGCCCTTTAAATTATTTTCGGTAAAAAATACTTTATAGTCTTATTATTAATAGAATAACATCATATGAATCTTAGAGAAACTCATTTTTTATCATATACTTAAAAGAAGAATTTATTCTGTATATAAGAATATTATAAAACTTTATTAAAGAATGTTAGCTTTGTGTGTATGACTTTACATAGTAATCAAACCTAATTTTTGTTTAATTTAATATTTTTAATTGGAGTGTGAAACTTACTAGAAGATTTAGAACATATTTTAAATAAATTTCATGTTTATGATGAACTTATAATAGATTTACAGATACACAGAATATCTCACATTGAAAAATCACTAAATATTAAAATAGCAAATAGTAGAAATCAAATCGAGACAAAAAGCTTTCTGTCATCTTTTCAATTCAATTAATAATAGATAACGAATTATTAAATAAATTTGATGCTTAGCGTGTTCTAATTGGCGGATTATAAATAGTGCTGCGCATCGAAAAAAATGTGAATTCTCGTCTGTTGGACTAGCTTCTATATTTTGATACAAAAAGACGCGCTAAATATCAAAGTTAATTAATCAATAATCCATTAACAATTGCTCATATTAAAAAAAATAACAAAAGACTTTTCGTCTCGGTTTGACTTTTATTATCTGCCATTTTAATATTTAGAAGTTAATATGGGAAACCCTTCATAAACTTATAAAATATTTGAGACAAATAATTGTAATGTCCGGCATTTACTTGAAAGTAGTATATATTTTTGTGTATGCATGCAATTATATTATAACCATAGTTATTCCCTTGCATTACGCTTGAAATATTTAGAAGTCCTGGAGCTTAGAATGAGAAAGACAGCGAAATGTATTAATGGATATAGTAAGTTTAACGATGCATAGTCATCTTATCACATTGCAGAGAGCCGCGCTGGTCCTTCGTACATCGGCAACGTGGTCTCGCAGATCCTCTTGTGCAAACAGATCAGACCGGATTTCAACGAGGAGGAACTCTGTAGCATTCGAAAGGACTCAGAAGAGATCGGCCAACTGATAGCGGAGTTGCAAGAATTCATGCCCCAATCCGAGGCTGACACGGGTACAATTCCGCCGGTACCTTCGTTCATATTACGTCCGAAACTTTTTCCCATACAGTGAAAATTTTATGTGATTATGCGTATATGATTTTTTTTCACAAATATATTAATCTTGATTTTTAGAAGAGACTCGTTAATGTAGCAAAAATAATTTATAATAATCATGATTACAAATTTTTTTCTTTTTCTCCTTATAACCTTATTATCCTTATTATATATTTTCCTTATTATTTTTCTCCTTATTTTAACACTTACTCTAGAATTGCTACTTCAATGGAAGCCAAAAATTTTCTTTCTTTGCCGGACTGAGAGAAGGGGGTAATATATCACCAATTAACAGTAACATTACATTAATATCATAATTTCCCACTTAATATATAATTGTTACATATAATGCATATTATATAGCACGTATTTTGTTGAATAGGAAATTATAACATTAATATGTTACATTAATAGTGATATTATTAGTTGATTTTTATTAAGAATAGAATAAATAGGACAGAAAGTCTAAAGCATCGAGACAAGGTAGACAATAGTAAATTAAACTTGATCGATATAATATATAGCAATATATATAGCAATATATATAGCAATATATAGCAATATATAGCATGAAAAAATACATTGTAGACTTTTTCGTTTGTGAGCATATTATTAATGTAGTATTATAAACAACACCATGATCGTGGTGGTTAGTAGGTAGCAGTCGCGCGAAATACTGGCCGACCTTAAACCCTAGGTCAAGGACAATTTAGTCTGCCAAATCCGTTTGTCTGACCTGCATTTCTACGAGTCCGTGAAGAAAGTGTGACGAACCAAAGTAGCAAATGCCAGAGGGCGAAAAGTGAGAGAAACAGAGAGAGAGAAAGAGAGAGAGAAAGAGAGAGAGAGAGAGAAAGAGAGAGAGAGAAAGAGGGAGAGAGAAAGAGAGGAAAAGAAGGAAGAATCGTAGGAGAGAAAACCTAAAAATATATTTGTCGGCCAACAAATTCAGGTTACCGTTCGTAAAATAATCTTACCCGTTTTTTCGATAAATATTGCCTTCTGTTGGGTTGGCATAAGTTAATTTAGATATAAATAGAGAGAGAGAGAAAGAGTGTGTGTGTGTGTGTGTGTGTGTGTGTGTGTGTGTGTGTGTGTATGGCAAGCGCATGAATTTAAGAACAAATTAAACTATATTTTTCGTAAAATTAATACGCAATGAAATGGTGATAATAGGAAAGTTACATTTTTGAGACACATGTGAAAATATTCGAAATGTGTCATGCAAGTCTAAATGATAATAATGACAAATAAACGTCATTTATTGAAATGTAGGAAAATACTAACGTCGAAAATATCCAAGACAGAACAAAAAATCGAACGATAATATTAAAATAATGAGAAATTGACTAAAAACTCACTTTTCAATGACAATTTAATAATTTTTTTATTATGTTGACGTCAAAATTTTCTGTTCTATTTGAATATTTTTTCGGCATCGATATGGTATTCAACATAATACAAACATGAAAATTTAGGACAATTAAAAAAGAAAACGAAAAAAACAGAATGACGAACAAGATATTAACAAATAACGAAAAAGGATTGAGCGAGTGGAGAGAGGAATAGGTAGAGGGAGAGAAAAAAATAGGGAGGGAGAGGAGGAGAGAGAAAGAGAGATATGTACACGATGCAATCCAGAATTTACGAAGCAAACATCAATGATTATTTTCATATTTCGGTATATTCGGTATATTCGGTATTTCGGTTGAAAACTTAACTGTAATCGAAAATAAATAGATCACATATCCTGTATCGCAAAAAGAATATCATTTCATATGATAAGAGAAATTTCACTTTGCCAAGTATCATAAACGTATATAAACGAAGTCATTTCTCTTAATTTCAGTCGCGAGCAATGCTTTCCATTTGACACTAAATTTGAATCGATATTAATGCGCGCACGACGGTGGCCCATTTTCAAACGTATTAGCAGTTAAATTAGTAATTAACAGTTGGTGGGGTTCGGGAACAAGGTCGGAGCAGTAATCCAGCTTTCGACGCATGACGCACGGCGCAAGGCGACGTCAAATGGCGCAACGAGCCCGTGCGGACATAGCTTGATTATCGAGAGGAAAAGCGATGTATTTGACACGAAACGTGATACGGGTCAAGGCCGAGTCGTAAAAATCATTTTATTCGCTGCTTGCGAGGAAACGAAAGAGAAATAAGCGTGATAAAGAGGAATTGCGCGCACCAACTTGACATGAGCGGAGCCGTTCGACGCGGTAGCCGTACTCAGATTTGCAAATCTCGTACATTTGCAAAACAATCCTGCCGTTTAGGAAGCCAGTAGAGAGTTCGGCGAATACTTCCGTTGGAACGAAAACGTGATGTCGAAACGAGATTGCCATCGTTTCTACATACCTCGCTCAACACCTCGCTTCCCATCCTTCGATCGTTCCGCAATACTGCTACGTCGTATTAATGCAGTACCTGCTAACATGATATTCTTTGTTAAGGCACCCGATTAATCTAATTTTGTTGCAACGTGAAACTGAACAGGATTGTTGCTCGTTCGAGGTCGTCAGTGTTCTGGAACTTTGTTCGAGTTTCTCTCCCACATGGACGTTTCGGTACTTCGCGCGAATTTTGCCGATAATAATTCGCGATTTATTAAATTTCATCGTAAAATGGAATTACTCAAGATAATCGTGATTAATTTCACTGGTTTTACTGATGGTTAAATACAGTACAATAACACATAATTCTACTTGTCTACCCGCGAATATATTTTATATTTGCTGTTTACCAATTTAATGCATATTGACATTTTTTTTGAGCTACGTCAAATCTCGCGAGATTATCATTTTAATCTTTCACAGAATTTCATATTTCTGACGCAACTCACATTATCCAAGAAAGTCTCGATGGTATTGCAATTTCCAGTAATCGTTACGTTGAAAAAATTAAGTCCTCCTTTCAACGAGATCTGATAAAAAGGAGGGCTGATTTTTTTTTATTTAATTCCTCGTATTTCTTTATAAGACTTGAAATATATTACCTTCTTATTTTTCAATATACGAGTGAAAACGGAAAAGAAAAGAGAAAAAGGGCAGAACTTAACACGCGCATTTTTTCATGTTATTCATCAATTTTCGTTATGATTTTTGTATTGCAGTTTTTATTAGAACTGCATAATATTGTGCCTTATACTGCTAATTCTAGACAAAATCGTAAAGCTCGTAACTTATTCTCGTAAGATTCGTAAGAACTTATGAGTAGACGATTGATACGTAAGCTATTGCTTTACGATTTTACGATTTACTCGTATATTTGCTTAGAATTGCAGCATTAGTAGTAAAAGATAATTTTGACTACTTTACCGTTTTTATTTTGACATATTCACAGACAGAGTAATAAACAGTAAAATAATGATTGAAATCGTATAAAATTGTCTCTGGTTTTTTTAGAGAAACCCGTGGCCCTTCACAATCCAGGGAACAAAATCAATCGGAATAATGGGACACGAAGAATGCACCGATGGAGTAGCAACAGAGAACGACAATCATCCTATTTCCGCAATGGTTTCAGATTTCTATGCTGTGCCGCGAGCACGAATTACGTTTAACGTATAATTCGTTTTTAAAGGTAATATTTTCATTTATATGCAAATATCGATAACGCAATGATTCTGATACGAGAATTTTTTCTAAATGAAAATAGGAATTAACGGTATTTCGATGCGTACGGACAGGACAATTGTCAGGAACAAATTCGTTCGATTTACGAAGTACACCAAAAAAGCATATATTAGCTGCGAAAATATAGTGCCATCGAAGAAAATCCAAGATATTTCTTTTTTGAAAGTACTTTAATAATGCGTATAATGCATTAATAATAAATAAATAAAGTCCTGAGTACAAAATTATTTGCTAGTAGGGATCTACAATATTGAAAGTGTAACCTCTCTACACTATAAAGATAAAGAAACATCATATGAACATGGATACGGAACTTTCTTTGAAAACTTTTGTTTACAACAAGAATTTTTAAGACTTTATAAGGTTACAGATTTGATTGAAGAAACTAAAAATAATGTTTTCCTATACATATGTTTTACGTCGAAGTCTCATTTGAAAAATGTAGAAAAGTATTTCGGATATTAAGAATTTTTCATATAAAACAATAATATGATTTCGGAGAATTTTTGGAGAACCTTACCTTATAACCTTATTCGATTATAACTTAGTACTGCTATTATTTATTTCTAACAGAAAGTAAATAATTACGATATTTGTAATTCGAAACTTATCAGATATTTCTATTATATTTCTATCGTACTATCATATTTGTTGTTAATAAAAAAGTGATTTTATTTAAAAAAGTGATTTTTAAAGTGAAATATTTTTGTATTTACGTCCATATGATTTTTTCATTCTCTCACGATGAATAAACTGCATTCTTAAAATTTGCTCACTTATTTTAGAATTATTTTATACACGTTGTAAAAGTATGGACTAATGAATGATCATACAATAAACATTGAGTAACATTACATTAATGTTATAATTTCCCTCAACAACTCAACAATGCAATTATTACGTACAGTACGTGTTACATTGCACTTATCTATTATTGAAATAATAAATTATAACATTAATGTAATGTTATAATTTGATGTTTTTACTCGATATTTTTTAAATTCTTTTAAGTGAAAAGTGGTAATATTTTCACTCGAGACGATAATGAAAATATTGTCACTCGAAATAAAAAAAATGAATTTTTACTTAAAATTTCTGATTCCATATGAATGGATATTTTAATCAATTAGAGCGAATGTTTTACTGATTCAGAATGCATCAGATTTATTCTTTAATATCAGGTGAAAGTATTTATTTCATGATTCAGAATGGAGATTCACTTTATAGGAGTAAAAATTAACTTCAATTTGAGTACTTCAACTGTAACTCTATATATTTTTTCTATATATTTTTCAAATGAAATTTTACTTCAAGAGAATTAGAAAAGATAAATATGTTTATAGGGGACCCACCCCTCCCCCCTCTCTCTCTCTCTCTCTCTCTCTCTCTCTCTCTCTCTCTCTCTCTCTCTCTCTC